CGACGTATTCATAATGAGACTCATTTATAAATCTGTTGTCAACAAAAAGAAGCATTGAGGTTTTCCTGCGCATTTCCGCCAAAACAAAAGTTGAGAAAAAGCAAGAACTCAATCAACATTCATAAATGTTAGCATTGTAATTTTACTGTTGTTCTGAAAAAAATAAAAAGTAAGACAATAATAATGATAATAATAATTACAACAGCTCTGTTTTAATACATTTTTTTATAACATACACACATAGTGTTCAAATTAGGATCTGTAATATTTTCTAATGTTTTAAAAGAAGTCTCTTCTCAGCAAGGCTGCTTTTATTTGTACAGTCAAAAAAAAAATACATGCCTGATTCAAGAAGGGGGTCTGATGGCCAAAAAATATTATCTTACTAACTTATTAATTTTAAGTTAAATTGTGCTTTGTTGGTATAATGTCTGCTAGAATGTTAAAAAATGTTCAGTGTTAAATATTTTTAAACTGTTTTTTTAATTGATTTTTTATTTGAAAAGCAAGACAAAACAGTAAAAAGCACATTTCGGCTATTTAATTTATGCAATGGTGAAAAAAATTGGCAAAATACGTGGTGGAAAAAAACTGGAAAAACCGTGTTCGGTGTTCGGTATTCGGCCCAGTGTTTCATTTTGTTCGGTTTCGGCTTCGGCCAAGAATTTTCATTTCGGTGCATCCCTAGATTTTAAAGTGTATTTTTTACAACAGTTTTTTTGTTGTTGTTTTTTTTACATATATATTTTTTTTCACAAACTGTGAAAATTATAAATGTTACTGCAACTGTATTTTATTATTTTTTTACATTTTGAAATGTGGAAATGCACTTCTTCTGTGTGCTTTTGTGGAGCTCAAAAATTAGCGCATTGTGCTTTCAACACCAAGATCAAAGGTTCGATTCCCAGAGAACTGAACATGCAAGAACTAATAAAAAAAGTACAAAAACAATGTTAAAAAAAGGTCTCTGCAGCTGCCTTTAACCATAAAACATGCGGGCCAAATTCTCTCGTTATAAATTTTGCATGCATATTCCACAAGATTTCAGAGTGCTGACAAGCATGTTCTAAATGAGAAAGTCACAAAAATGTAAAAAAATAAAAATAATCTATAAAACAGTATTTCTGACCATTCAAAAAACGAATGGGTCAAACTGACCCGCAACCTAATACCAGGGCTAGATAATATGTCTCCTTCAATGGAAATGTATTGGATTTGATACCCGTTTTATTGTCTTTCAGGCAAAAATCATAAGTCTGATCACATGACTGAAGAAGTAACAGCATGACTCGCCCTCATTTAAAGAGGCATTTATGTCTGTAGCACAAAAATGATGAATTACACGGCAGATTTTCATATTTAGAGATAGAGGTCTGCCAAAATCCCTAACCCTCAATATGACCACTAGTAATAGTGATGTTTGCCTGAGTAAACACTACTAAGGAGAAGGTGTGTGTGTGTGTGTGCATGTGAGTGTGTGTGTGCATGTGAGAGTGTGCGTGTGTGTGCATGTGAGAGTGTGTGTGTGTGTGTGTGTCGACAAGCATGACGGCTAGCTGACACAGTGAGCTGCGGAGAGGCTGATCTGAACGAGGGAGAGCTGGCAGAGCTTCAGCCGTGACTCAGAACAGCAGGAACTAGCGCTGGGTAACCAGAGCCAAAACACTGGAGTTCACTTCAGGCTTCTGAAGAACGGCAAATGATGTCGGATGGTCTATCTCTACTGTGGACATGAAATTAGAGTTATTTTTATATCTCTATCCTGATATATTATCAATATAGCAGATTTTTATTCAGAGCGACTAAAAGTTCATTATTATTATACGAGGAGTTGCCATTATACAGTCACCGAACCATTCAGCCCAGATTTCATTGGACCAAATCGGTTTCAGGACAATTTTTCATCTAAAACTGAATCAGGGGAAAGGGCTTTCAGTTCGGCCAAACCTCAGAGATTGTGATGTTTCTTAGCAGATTCTTCTGTCTTTACTGTATAGCATCTTACAACACATTACACAGGTGAAGTTCACCCAAATCAGGGTTATTATTATTAACTAAAAAAAACAAAAACAAAAAAAGAGTTACTTGAAATAAAATGAAATATAACTTAAACTTAAAAAAATAAATAAATAGAACTTAATATAACTTCAAAAAAAATCATGTATATTAATTTAGTTTAACTTGCAAAATATGAACATTTAATGATACTACAACAACACACCCAAATACTTCTGGATCTACATCTTTTGATTCTGTCACCTAAATAAGCCATCATCTACCCCTAAAACCAAAGGACAATGACCAGAATTGGACTAATGTTCCATGAATAATGTTCCAGGACGTCCAGCATCTTGACAAAATCACCAAGGGGCACAGTGGTGTCTTCACTGATCAGCCTTGCTGGATTCAAACCTACAACCCTTCACCTACCAGCTCAGAATACCTGCATATTAACTATCATGCTGATTATGAGTTTCCCAAGTTAACCTCAAGAGAAAAGGCTAGTTTAACCTGACACTACTCTGTCACAGGCCCAGTGTGTGTGTGTGTGTGTGTGTGCGTGTGTGCGTGTGTGTGTGTGTTATCCCAGCAGTGATGCTGCAGTCTATTAGCCTGGCAGCTAACTGGCCCCAAATGTGCATTCATATTCATGTCAGATCACGCACAGGTTCTGTATGTGTGTGTGTCGGGCTGTGTTTGTTTATTAGCGGTGTGAGAGACCCGTGATCAGTCAGTCATCTGAGGCGAACACTGACACTGATGAATCAAAACATGACACTCCAGCCGTGTCTTACCTGGACAGATGCTTCAGGATCTGCTTCTTAATGATCCCGGCCATCCCGTCAGACCAGCTACCTCTCCAGCATCTTCAGAAATCTGTGGCTGACACACACAGAGACACAAACACACACACACTCATACACGCCGCTCACGACCCGCTGCTGCTGCTGCTGCTGCCCGAAACAAGTGCAGCGCCGCCGACTGCATGTCAAATGAAAAGACCTCATCAGAGAAGAGCGGCTCAGGCTCAGAGTCAGAAGCAGCTTTATGGCTGAGTGTGCTTGGTAATGAAGCTTCGAGCGAACACATATAAATACAAAATAAATTAACTAATTAAAAAATAAAACATATGAACACATATTAAGACTGGTTAAGTCAGAATAGAATATTTAAAATATAAAGATTATGTACATAAATATGAGTGAAGTTACAGAATACGACTAAACCACTCAGCAAAACTTTCTAAATTCAAACTTCTAAATAAGCTAAAACAAATAAAAACCAAGATATTAAAATATTTTAATATTTTAAGTCACCCCTATCACCCCTATTCAATCATATCTATCTATCTATCTATCTATCTATCTATCT